GCAGGAATCTGCAAGGCTGGCTTTTATCAGAGTCGAGGAATTACCCACGTGGGAGCTGTGCCAGTCAGACATTCATTCATTTGCTCCTGCGCTCTTTCACAATTATCTGCTTCTCACCACCTTCCCCCCTTCTTGTGTGTCGAGGCTCCCGTGTCCTGGGCACTGTGCCAGGTGCAAAGCCTGCAGGCCACTGGGATCGTGAAGGACACTGTGTCCTGCCCTTGCAGGGAGGAGGGGTCAAGATGCTGCAATACAAAAGTCTGCAAGATGCTGTGGACATGCAGGTGGGGCTGCCGAGTGGTGCTGGGTAGGGGCTGTGGGTGAGAGTGAGGAAGAGAGTTTCCTGACCTCCTGCCCCTGTCAAAGGGGAGTAATGGGGTCATCTCTCCCCCATGAGGCAGCAGGCTGTGGCAGGCTCCAGAATCAGGAAGACCTGGGCTCACATCCCTAGTGGCTACAACTCTGAGCCCCTCAGTTTCAGTCTCCCATGCCTAAGCCTGCTGATGTGGGGTGCAGGGTGAGATCGTGAATGCAGAATGCCTTTCCTGTCCTGGTTCCCACTGGCAGGGTCTGTCCAGCCCCTCACAGCCAGGTCCTCAGGAGCTGGGGCCTGGGGGTGGGGGGAGGCGGCTGCCACCAGGACAGAAAGATGGCAGCCAGGGCGGACTCCAGCTGGTGGGTGTGAGCTGGGATCCCCACAGTGGGGAGGAATGGCTTTCTCTTACAGCAGAATCTGGAGGGACTGGGGGACAGTGAGTTTTGCCTTCTAAGGCCAGCTGGGGTGACTTCTGTCCCTGAGTCTCCAGCCTCCCAAGGGGGAACCCTGGTGGGATAGCAGTCATGCTGCCAGAGGTCACATCACAACTCAAAGATAAAAGGCCTATTGGGGACTCAGAGAGGTCCCTGAGATGGGGATCCCACCCCAGTGGATACAAGGTCATCCTTCCATGTCCTGACCTCGGAACGCAGCCATGCCAGAGGGGGTCAGAGGATGGGGCCAAACAAACCTGGGTTTGCATTCCGGCTTGGTCATTCACCAGCTGGTGACTTCTCTGAGCCTCAATTTCCACACTGGCACTAACAATACCTAATGGTACTAATGAGGCTGTAGGGACGAGTAAGTGGCCTGGCACATGAATATGCTCTGAGGGACTAGGGGGTTAGAAGCCACATGGTCATCTTAGCTATGGGTCCCTGGTTTCCCCAACCCATGCACAGACACACAAACACACACACACAAAACAGGCTCAGGAGGAAGCTGGGGCCTGGCCAGGGGTGAAGACCTGTAGGCCCCATGACCCTCAGGCAAGCAGCTGCTTTGCCTGTATGGCCACACTGCGGGGCTGGGACACTTGTCTGCTAGCCGTGCAAACAGCTGTCCCAAGACTGAGCCAGCTCCTGCCAGGTGAGTGGCAGCCGTCAGGAAGGTCCAGGAGAAATGAGACCTTGGGGCTAGCCTGGGCAGTGAGCACTGCCTGGTGGGACAGAGCCTCACTCCTGCTGGGTATCTCTGGTGAAGCCCGTCGTCAGGGTCGCCACAGCAGGGCCCACAGAGCACAGCCCGGGTTCTGCTCCTGCTCCATCACTCGGATCTGATGGGGCAGCCGCCCCCCCACCTAGCCAGAACAGGAAACGACGCGATAACCAACCCCAGGGGCTGCGCCTCCCATAAAACACTTCATTAGGTGCTCAGAGGCAGTGGCTGCTTTTACAACTTGTAAACACAGATGAGCCTCTGATGCCGGATAAAGGCTTGGCTAGGTTCCAGCCTCACGATCTTGGAAACGCCCAAACTGCTTACTCCAGACAAAGCAGCCTCAGGCTCAGGTGGGGAGGCCACACCAAGACAGCCGCAGGCGATGGCTTCTGGGATGGGCAGAGACATGGATGAATGCATTATCATGTTGTTAAATGCTTGGCATTTGCGTGTGTCAGTATAGAACAGGGGCCCAGGCCTGCTGAGCCTGTGGGCTACGAAAGGCACAGTGAGCCCAACAGGGTGGACATGGGAAAATGAGAACACTGACAGATGTGTGCCCACCCACAGAGGGTTCCAGCTGCTGCCTTTGTAGGGTGTGCCCAGGAAGGAGCAGAAGCAGCCACTGAGGACTACATGGCGGCAATGTCTCTGTGTAACTGCTCGGCCTGGGGCCCTGACACTCTTCATCCACGCGCCCACCACCTAGAAGCCTGGGCCAGACCCCACACCCAGTTCCAATTTCCACCAATTAGAAAGAATGTCTTTAGGCCAGAAGGTGGCATGATGACTAAGGCACTGGACTCCCACATGGCCAACCTCCCACATGGCAGTTCAAGTCTCAGACCAGGGGCTTGAAACTCACACTAGGCACATGTATGTACATGCCCCAAATCCCAAGAGAATGAAGAGAAGGTATGGGGCATGGCCGTCCCTCCCGAGCTGGGATTTCTCACTTTCCCTCTCACTGTCTGTCTGTCTCCAGCAAGTGTGTGCGCCCTATGCCAAAAGCCTTCAAACAAACAAACAAACAAAACATCCTCGTCCAACAGTGGCTGCAAAGATGACAGAGAATGCTGGACAGGCAGGCGGCTGCTGGTTCTGGGAAGTGACTGCGAGACCTGGCCTGTGCTACAGGACCTCAGCGCTGGCCACGGGGAGCCCCATGCCAGGTGGGCAGCAGGGCGGGTACTCACATTGATCATAGCATTCGACGTGATGCGGAAGAGGGTAGCCCGCTCGTTCACCACCTTCAGCTTCTCCCCACTCTCGGACGGGATCTTGAGGCCATCCAGCTCGTTCAGGGAGCGCTGGAGTGCTGCACCGTGCTTGGCAATGAGGTCATTGCACGTGCTCAGGTCGTCCAACTTCAGGGAAAGGTTCTTGAGGGTGTGCTGGAGCTCGCTCTTGTCAGCTGGGGAGGTGGGCTCGTCGTCGTCGTCGTCCCCAGAGTCATCTGTGGGGAAGGCAGAGTATAGTGGTTAAGGCAAGTGGATCCCACATGGTGACCATGCAATTAGAGTCCCTGACCTGGTGGCTTGAAAAACATACCAGGTGTATGCACGTTTGAGCCCAAAATCATGAGAAGAATGGAGGAGAAGGGATTGTGGTGTGGCCATCAACCCTGAGGGTGATTTCTCACTTTCCCTCTCTCTCTTTCTCTGGTGAGTGTGCGTGCCCCTATGGCAAACAAGAAAGAAAGAGAAAGGAATGGCATCGTTCCCTAGATGGTGCCCGTTCCTGCTCCTAGCCAGGGTGAGGTACCTGCCCTTCCTGCCCGGCCTTCCCAGGCCCACCAGAGTCTGTGAGAGAGTATGAGAGGGGGACAACTTGAATGCACAGCCTGGACTGGCCTTGGAAGGGGCGGGCCTGCAGGCACCTGACACCAACTCCCCCAGGCTGGGCACATAGGCAGGGGTGGGCTGTGCTGGTGGAGAGGAGGCGGAGGTCAGGAGGTGGGCACAGAGACCCCAGAATGGAGCTCTCTGCCAGTACTGCACGCCCACCCCAGGCTGACCAGCACCTCCCAGCCTGCCTCCCTTGGCTCTCCGCTCCACGCCTGTGCCCACACTCAGCTGCCCGATCCCTGCAGACACCTGGGCAGCCCTGCTTAGCCCGTTCCCACTGTGTCCCCACTGGGCCTGCGCAGCACCACCTCCAGTACATACCTCCCAGAGGTCTCACCCCATCCGCCTGTGAGGTCCAGCCCAAGGCTACCCCTACCCAAAGTGTCCTTGAAGCCCCAAGACCACAGCTGAGGCTACTCACTGCCCTGCCTCGGCCTCAACCCCCGCCCCCAGCCCCATAGTCTGTACTCATTAGGAACTTGGACATTCTCACATATCAAATGCCTCCTGTGCGCAGGCACTTGCTCTGGGGAGGGACTGAACCACCCCCAGGGAATAGACGAGGCAACAGGCTCTGAAAGGTGACGCCGTTCCCAGGCTGCCCAGCTGGCTGCCCCTCTCCTGCCGGGCTCCACCCGACTGGGCCTGCCACTACTCTAGTGCTGGGCACCAGGCAGCCGAACGCTGACACCAGCCCATGAGTCCCAGAGCCTGGAACTGCCAAGGGTTTCTGAAGTACCTTGTTTCAGAAATAATCAGCTAAACCATTTTTTTTTTCCAGATGAAGGATTCTGTAACCCAAAATATGATCATTTTTAAAAAAGAACACGGATTGCAAGAGAACAGATTTCTTCCCACGGTGGCTGAGGTGCGTGGGAGTGAGTGTGGCTGAGCCACTGTTCCAAGTGCACCCTGAGCCCAGGGCAGGCCCAGCCCAGCCAGCTGCATGGGACCCAAGATGAGACTGGTGGCATGACCACAGGAGAGGGGGCTGGACAGTGGCATAGCAGTAAAATCAGATGGGAAGACGAGAGTCGGGGCTGCCCTGGGCCGTGCAGGAGGCTGCCTCTGTGACAGTGTCTTGACTCGGCGTTGAGCTCGCCTGGGCCACTTCTACTTGTCCCGGGGGAGAAGAAGGCCATGGAGATGTCTCCTACTCTGGGCTTTTCCCTCTTTACCCTCCGGATGTCAGAAAGCAGCTCTCTCCCGCAGCCTGTCTGTTCAGATCCACCAGTGGAGCTCGCGGTGAGGTGGACTCTGGACATTCGACAAGGGACGACTCAAACTGTGAGGGAGGCCCAATAGGACAAGGTGCGCCTGTCACCAAGAGGACTCGGCACGGCTCCCAGCTTCCACCGTCCTCCCCATCACTCGCTTTTCCCGTCTTCACAGTTACTGCTGGTGAGATCAAGGGCGGCGTCCGGTCACATGGGCGTTCCGGAGGCGTCCCAGGCTGTCAGGTGACACTCATTCAAGGGAGGCCAGATGGAGCATTTCTTCCAAGCCCACCCCTTCTGTTTTCAAATGGGAAAACTGAGTCTCAAAGCAGGACGGGGGCTTGGCTGAAGCCAGGTGTCGGCGTGGCAGTAGCAGCAGTAACTCGTCCCTGCTGAGCCTGCGCTTTGACCAGTGTGGCCTGGACCTCAGGTGACTTCCAGGTGACTAAGATGCACTTGCCGAGGGCTCAGAGGCAGCATCCCTGGGTGGATGATCCTGGGGGGAGAGCGGAGGAGGGACAGCAGGGGTTGCCACTCCTCGAGCCTGTGATCAGAGCCACCCCAGGTGGTGGGCTGCTGGCCCCTGAGCACACACCACTGCTGACGGCTCAGCCCGATGGGAGCCCCAGCTGCATGCTGAGGGCTCAGAAAAGCCACTAACCAGTTTGGGTCTGCAGTGGGAAGAGTGCCAGGCAGAGGTGCCATGCCTCACCCCACCCCCCGCCCCCGGCCCCAGTGCAGGACCGCCCCAGAGCAAGGGCCCCAGTCCCCTGCAGGCAGTCGCTCTGCCTTGCTCATTCTGGCCGCTGACTGGCTCTGCGCTCCGCTAGTACTCCTGGGAAATACTGGGCAAATCACACCCAGAACCAGCCCGGGTCTTGGCATCCCAGGCAGCAAGTTCCGAAAGAGGCAGCTCCCCACTGGCCAGTGACGAAGCCACTGGGGGAGGTGGCAGGCATCCTGTGGCAGACGGTGGCCCAAGGCTGATGTGCGTGCTTAAAGAACTGGACTAAGGACCCGTTCAATCTCTGCACCCTAAGCACCCTCACTGTACCGGAGAGGAAAGAGGTTTGAAGTGGGATGGGTCCTTTGGTGAATGAGTGGCGGGGCTGGGGTCCCATCCCAGGTGGCCCGGCTCCAAGTCTGTGCTCCTCACCACAGTCCCCCGACCACGTGGCCATCTCCCATGTCACAGTGTAGGTCACACTGAGGGGGAGCTCTATGGGCCAGGACAACAAGTTGTGACGCCAGTTTTCATGGGCTGTGCAGTAACTTCCGGTCGGGACATAAGCCCGCATCTCACCCTCTTGCAGGTAGTGGGAACACCTCATCTGACTCTCCTAGACGGCGTCATCTTACTCTCCCTCTCCGACTGTCAGCCTGGCTGGGAAGAGGGTAGAGCCAGAGTGTTGGCACCAGCAGGTGGCTTCAGACCCCATCGGCCTGTGCCCTCATCTTAGCAGGAGGACACGGCTCAGGCCCTGCAAGGACATGGCTCCCAGATGACAGGGACCCAGGGAACCAAACCAGGAGTGATGGAGGGGGCAAGATGGATGCCTGGAGCAGAAGGCAGACACCAGGAGAGCTCTGCCTCCCCCCATCCTTCCACTTTGTAAACAGCCAGCCATGTCCCCGCTGTGTGTCCCAGCAGGGCCACCAGGGCACTCTCTCGGCACTCCCGCCCACGCTCCCCTCGGCCTGGCTCTGGCCTAGCGGGCTGCTGTGTGCTGCCGCTCCTGGCATGCTTCTAATGTTCAGATCAAACGTTCACAGAGAAGCCACTCACCAGCACCCCAGCGAGGCACTCTGCCATCTGCAAAGTCTGTCGCTTCTAAAACAAGGACATCTGAACATGGAAGGCGGAGAAGCCGACCTCGCTCCTCCGCAGAGACGACTTGGGGCCAGAGGGGGCCTGGCCTTCTAACAAAAGTGACTTCTCTGTGATGGCAGGAGGCTCAGGCCTGAGGTGCTCCTGGGCCTCTGGGGCTAAGGCAGTCTCCAGACTGGTGGGGAGCTGGGGGGAGCAGCACACAGAGAGAATAACTGACGAGATCAGGTGGGACCGTATGGAGCGGGTGACCATGGCATCAGCCCCTCAGCCTATTCTCAGACATGACTGGCTTTAGAAATGCACCAATCCCTAAAACACCCATCAACTTCCACTACCTACACAGAATGAAATTTGACAGACCTGGAAGACGCAGGTTACTGACACATCACTGTCCTAACTTCCCTGTCTGTCTTGGCCTGGCCACCTGAACATGGCAGAGGCCTGTCATCCTCAAGTAAGAAATCCACCCCCCGCCACCCGGGGTGTGTGTGGCCATGCCACAATCCCTTCTCCTTCATTCTCCTCCTGGGATCTTGGAAACACAACCACATGCACCTGGTATGAAAGCCACAGGGTCCGGGACTCGAACCATGGTCAGCCATGTGGAGCCTAGCAACGTAACTGCTATGGCATCTGCTGGCCTCCTGGTGATCCGTAATCCAATATGACTAACGTCCTTATAAGAAGAGCAGGGCCGTGAGGTGGTGTGGTGGTTAAGGGGACTCCTACATGGCTGACTGTGGTTTGGGTCTCAGACTTCGCGGCTTGCTTTCTCACTTCCTCTCTCTCTCTGGTGAGTGTAAATGCCCTGTAGCAGATTTTAAAATATTAATAATGATAAATTAAATTAATACATATTTTTAAAAAATAAGAGAAAAGATAGAGACACGTAGGAATGGAGACAGAGACTGGGATGATACACCTGCAAGGGAGAGAATGCCAAGGACTGCTGTCGACGACAGGAGCCAGGAAAAAAGCATGGGATGAACTCTTCCCAAGAGCCTCAGAGGAAACACAGCCCTGATGACACCTGGATTATGGACTTCTCACCTCCGTTTGCTGTTTTAAGCCACCAATGTGTGCTAGTTTGTTACAGCAGCCCTAGGATACGAACCGTGATCAAAACAGCACATGCTGGATTGTTGGAAAAGTCATGGCATATTTTCTATGCAAAAATGTGTCATGACTTTTCCGACACCCACTGTCTTACAGTTCCAAAAGTCAGGAGTCCTAAGGGCTGCATTCCTTCTAAGAGGGCTGGGGGAGAATGTATTCCTTGGTCATCCTCACTTCCAGAGCTGCCCTTATCCCGTAGTGCACGTCTTCCTTCTGTAAAGCCTGCAAATAGCATCTTCTAACCTCACTCGGGCTCCGGCCTTCCTTCCTCCCTCACATCAGGACCCTGGTGATTATATTGGTTTTACCGGGTAATCCAGGATAACCTCTCCATTTCAAGATCTTTAATCATATCTGCAAAGCCCCTTTTGCCACACGAAGTACCATACCCACAGGCTGTGGGAGTCGGGACTCGCCCGTCTTTGGGAGGCGATATCCAGCTGCC